TTGTATGTAGTTGTTGGCAATCACTTCTCATTGTGACTAAATGTATCCATTCTCAAGTAGAATTGTCCTATGACCTTTGGCAATCTTGCATGTATTTGTTGACAATCTTCTGTCCTATAACTAAATAGGTATGTTTCAAGATCTACTTACTCCATAATGAATCAGGCAGAAACATTAACAGTACAAACTTAACGATGCCTCCTAAATTCAACAGTTGACATAAGAAACGGCAGACTTAATGAATGTAGCATACAAAAGAAATGGCAGACTTAACGATGTCTGATAAATTTAACGGTGACATATCACAAATACATCAACATCCACCGTACATCAAAAAGTTGCAAAACTAGTATTTGTTCATCATACTATCAAACAAATTTCTTTGAAACTAATTCTTGACTCTCCTTCTCCTTCCCCTGGTGTATGGAGTCCTCGTAGATGAGGCAGGGAAGCGGGGGCGTGTCGATCGCCACCTCTTCATGTTAATTGCATCGTTGCCTTCGACGGGTATGGTGGTCGCCACGGGTATGTCAGTGACATCGTCTATGCACAAGTAGAATGGGCTCAATTAGTTATCCAAAAAAGAAAATGATACTAACATAACATAGCCTACAAATATCTAATTACAGTCTTCGGGTACCTAAAATCAATAACATGAATCCTTCTTTGGGAACTTACCTTCACGTTGGACCACAACATCAGAAGTGGGTAGTGTTGTTTCTTCGATGGCATCATCCAACATTGTTATACCATCTGCATTGAAATCATGAGAAAATATTCAACATTAGTTTTCAACTTAACATTCTTATATTCTATTAAAAAAATGGTCATTATGTCTCCTTGAGGTCATCCCCACCGGACCGCTCATCATCAGAGCCTCCACCAGTCTCATTTTCGTATGCTTCCCCCATAGACGAATAGTCATTATGTCCATTGCCCAATGCCTCTGCGGCAAATTGTGGAGCGACCATGTTCAGGGCAATGTCATCCAAAGTGGGCACACAACGATCTTCATACGGCACGAGAGTGGAGATATATGGTTGGGTAAGCTCGACTTCAGTGGGGCGCAGTGTGGCATGCACGTGCAGCTGCGAACAAAGGAAAATGGCATCAATGAAACATGTAATTTGTGTGCATTAGCAATTAAAATGAACACGGGTACTTTAAACCTGAAAGAGGTGGGCGCATGAAATCTGGTCAAGTGATTTGAAGTATTTCTCCTTCAGTCTCTTCTTTTCCAAGACTCGAGTAAAGACATCGCCCTCTGGAGGGAGACTACATCTTAACCCTGTCACGCCTGCATACTCTTGCAGTCCAAACCGAGTCAAGTGGCCTTGCACATTGAACCACAACTCCTTCACCTTATCCATCCGTATGGATCTGAAGACAAGTTGTTGGAACAGCTGTGCGGAGAATTGGATGTCTAGGACGTCGGCAAAGAACCCGAGGCATGATTCGCGGAATCCTTGGAGCTGCCGTTCATCAAAATGGTCCAAGACCCTTTTTACATACTTAAGGTTGCTCCGCTGTGAAATGAGGGCCCCCAACCGTGCATTTTCAGGTACCTCCCATTCGAAATTCATCTCTTCTGCAAGGTACATCAAGAAAAAGAAAACATGTGAGATCGTGATATGTGGTACATGTAGATGGCAAGGTAAAAAAAAATTATGGAACACAATTTTGAATGAATGCGAACAT